AAACGTATTATTGAACATGCTTGCGCGGACTTCGCGCCAACGCCTTCGGGATAAAAAGTTTGCATTTCTGAATACCAATACCGTCGGCGAAAGTTCATTCCGCCTCCTCTCTTCGCCTCCTTCCACTTCGTCATTCTTTTCTCTACTGGAGCACCTACTTGTAAGCGTCTTATCGAAGGCGTTACTTCGGAATGAACTTCCGATCGGATCGGAGATTTTGGTGGGAGCAAAAAAGCACATCGAGCTCGGTCGTGGTGCGGGTCGACGGGGATTTGGTCTTTTTTACGACAAAGAGCGACGACGTTTCCTAATCCGTTAGAGTAACGATTCTCCCCAGAGATCAATGATAATGAGGGTTCTATGAATTGCCTCGGATTTTGAAAATTGAGGTCAGTAAAATTAGATATGTATACGAGATATGTATGTATGTGAGAGAACGTTTTCTACTTAATACCAACGTGGCAATTATCTTTAGAACAATTGTGATTATTTATTAAGACTTAATTCTAAAATGTATAGTTATTACTTTTAAGTATGTAGATAAATAGTTATTACTTTTAAGTAGATAAAATCGGTCGTGAAAAAAATATGTGATCGTGCTTTATATTTCGCATAAAAAAGAAACGCGCTTTTGTTCATCTAAATAATAATTATATTGATTGTTAAGATGTCAACGATATACACTCGAAGCCGATTTGTGCTGGCAGTTCGAAAACTTGAAATTATCTTTCCGATATGTCGTTAGTTCGATATTACATTAGAAACTGCTAAACAATATAAAGTTACGTTCTTTCTTGTACGACGTACGGTCCAATTGGCAGTTAACGTTGACTTATCCTTCAAGATACTGCAACACAGATGTTCTCGAAGAAGTTTCCTTGATGGATACTTGCTTGGAGACCGTAGCGATTTTGTTTTATTGTTCCATTACCTCTTCAAGGAATATAAGATGCTTCGATAAAGAAAGCTTTTGATGTATTTATTGCATCTTGTACGAAAGTACTTGGTCTACTTTTTCTCTCTGTTTTCTCTCGTGTTATCGACATTTCCAAAAGTTGCGCATGCTTTACCAACCTTTCAATTTCCAGTGCCATTACGGATAATGGTTGCATCTGTAAATATACGTGTACTACGCAAGTCGAAATCGATTAGAGACGATACGATGCACTTTGCAATATTTGAGCGGAGGATAACGTCTTCGCGAGTACAAGCAACGGATTCGTATTTTGTAACGGATCTGTGTATTCTTGGGTTCTAACGTTCTCGCGCATGCCGTTATTAAGCTCGTATCAAAGAGAAATCGAAACGTCGCGCCTCAAACGAGCGTTTTATCTACGGTTGACGGAGATGCCGCATCGTTAGCTAAACTTAATCCTACGACGCAAATATTGAAGCCGAATACGAAATTACGGATACCGCGACGAGGCGAAGCCAGCTTTCGATCTTAAGCAGACGGTCGTTTGAATAAAACATCAATTCCCTCCCGAGTAAACGTGAGGGTCGCGACGACGTATCGAGTTTTACAATTTACGTCCTGCATACTTAACCGGCATCCTCATGTATAAATTATGGTTAATCGTATTAGGTGGCAGTCGTGGTGGAGACTAAGAGCTGATTCAGATAGAACGCCGTTCGAACACGATTAACGCTCAATAACGAGCCTTCGAAGATAACGCGATAAACGCCAAATCCTCTCGACAACGGATCAGAAACACGAATTATCTCGGCCACAGGGAGATTTTATCGCTCGTCAACAAGAATCGATTTATGGGAATTAGCGAGAAGCAAATGCGAGATACGTGCAAGTGTTTCTCGACATCGACGCATAGTCGGAGCACGCGATAGTCGGAAAATTGCTGTTTAATTTAGGAGAAATTATCGACATACGGATTATTATACTTTTGTGGCACACACATACACACACACAATACACGTGTACACGTGTGCACGTTGGTTTCGTCCCGCGGGACTCCCTTGTGTTTTCTTTTTCTCATTTTCAAGCCTTCTGCCACTTGAACTGCGAACATCTGCGATTTTCAATTTCCTAATGGATACGTGCGGTAGCTGCACGTTACTCGGCTACGATCATTCAACCTAGGTGATTGAAAATTGCGGGCGCAAAAGCGTATCAAGGAATCGATACGTTGACTGAGCCACTCAATAACACGTATATCCTTTTTTTTTTGTAATGTACGTTGCTTACGTCATAGAAAGAGTTTTGTATAAAAGTATATTTACGATACGCACATAATTACTTTCTGTGTTTCGAGAATTCAATTAAGTACACGTGACCTGTATGCATCATTTGCTGTATTAAAATACGAGCAAATGCGATGCAAATTTATGAAACATGGGAATAAAAAGTATTAAATAAATAAAACTTGTTAATGGTACGCGTTACGTATTCGCTTTTACACGGGAGTGTGAAATTTTTCGCAAAGTTTCACCGTTTTTTTAGTAAATTGTTTAGTCGCGTTCGCGAAGCATCACTCCGTTTGAATAAAAAAAAAATATATATATAACCTCATTAACGTCATATTATCATGTCTTCATGTCATCTCCGTAGAGAAAATACACGTATCAGAGGCATAGAGGCGACGTGTAACGCCGTGGTAGATGATGCATGATGAAGCACATGAACGTGAACAAAACACAAGCACCTTGACGGAGATGTGTACGGAGTAATGGATATAAATATACATCGCGGTGTATTATTTAATAAAAATACTGCAGCTTCTTCTGCAAGAAAGAAAGCTTTGATGTACGTGCGCGTATACATTTGTTTGTCTCTAACGAAGACCATCGTCAAAGTGCAAAACTTTTACAAGTCCTTTTCCAGAATTATTCTCTCTGTTACTTCAATCTAATATCTTTGTTAATGTAAAAATAAGAAAGAAAAAGACAGAGAGAGAGAGAAAGAGAGAGAAAAAGAAAAAATTCACGCGTAATTGACATAATTTGCGGTATTATGTTCGGTATGAAATATAAGCCAATTTCTCTCTCTCTCGTGGCTATTTGCTACTTTGCCCAAGTGTTTTTCTGCAATCATGGTCAGTCGATAATCTACTAAAAGGCAAGGAGTATTTCAGAATAGTAAAGGCTCTCATACACACGAGTATATATGAAATCGATCGCGGTAATCAAAACGAGTTTAACACTCGGCTGCGATTCAAAGACCTCTCAGATCTGATCTAATAAAACAGCTCGGTCGCAAATAAATGCGTCTTGCGGCAAGGTAAAATCAGTTGCATGAGATTTTACGAGACTCGGGGAAAAAACGTGCTGATGCGAGTGCCAGCCAGAGATGGGAAAGAGCGCGGTTGTAAAAGCGTCTCTTCGAACAAGGTGTCCCCGGCGCGATATTACGGCTCCGTTGCATCCGCGTTTATGGCGCACGACTAAATAATGCGTCTTGCACCTGCAAGTGCGAAAAGATCTTCACTTGTTTTTTTTTTTTTTTTTTGTCGTGAGATACCTACGACGATGCGATTGTTTTTCTCAATTCGCAAAATCGTGTACTCGCACGTTATACGTTGAAATTTTTAAAACCAAATATGCAGAGTGTGTGACGTGTAATACTTACGTGTGATTGTGTGTGTGATCATCATTGTATCAATAGTAATTAAATGATGAAACTGTGCCGAGAGATGCATTAAGATTAAATCACTATCTAATTTTGATGCGTTATTTTAATTTCCGAATCGATTTTGTTATCCCTTCGTGGATTGACTCTCATGTGCAAAAATGCCTATTAGACTAACTGGGTCTACGAAATCCACGCGAATTTAAAATTAAACATCTCAGCAAAACATCAGTATTTTTTAATTTTGTTTTTTTTGCAAGTGAACAATTCTCTGTCAACAAAAAAAAACAAGTTAAAAAAATCTCTAGCAGTTTCGAAAATAGAAGCGTTTAAAAAAAAAAACTAAGTTTTACTAGAGACGCCGATGCGCAGTTCTTGGGTGGGTCTGGATGACCCATGTTAGTTTATGAAGAGTTATAGGTACGAAATTGTTTTATATGAAACTTCCTGGAGTTTTGTTTGCCAAAATAAAGCCATTTTGTCATTACAAATCAGCACGTTGAATAAACACAGAAAACATAGAGTGAATTTATGATCACGCACATACCACGTTTTTCGGACCAGGCGCGCGGCATTGCCTTAGCGTGCAAAAATTTCTCCGAATGTTATCGCAGCGCCCGCAACAACGTACGCGCTGTATTTGCCCGGCGGTGTTTATCGAATGGAAAAATATGCTCGTGGCAATTCCGGTAATGGCCGGCTGCCGGATTCGCGCGCGGCGCTACCGCCAGTAAAAGCTACTCCTCCACGCGAACGAGCCGCGCCCGGCCCTGTCGAATGTACGCGCTTTTTAAAGCGCGGTGCGTACTTCCGCCGACGTTGTTATTCCGCAACAACATTTGCTAGGTCATTGTTGTTTCTCACATCCGTTTTTTTCCCCCGTTGTACAACCCCACAACGCTCGTTCGATCTACGGACGGAATACACACGCGAACGAGTACGGACGCGTATTATCCTTTAACTCTTATCCCACCTCGTTTACTTTTCAACGACCGTGTATTCTGGTTTATGCGCGTGCGCGTATTCGCTCTGACTGGCGAAATTTTTACGGAGATGTTATATACGCTCTTAGTGATAAATATATTCTCACACTCTGGACGTCAGACAGATTTTATCTATCGCTAATTCAAAAGGCGAATAACATCAAATGCGAAATATTGTCGGGATCTGCATTCAGCTTATCAAACTGAGTAAAATATCTAGTGCGCGATAAATCACTTGCATGTGTATACTTTCAAAAATCGTATTGTCGTTGTAGTCAAGCTATAATGTTAACAAGGCGCACGAAGCTCTCTGGTACATCTCATTTAAATAATCTTTAATGCCGCGTTTAACTTATAATTGCTTTTTAAATAATCGATGCAAGAAGAGCAGAATAATTTACTATCTCTGAGAGATAATTCAGACGTATTCTTACCGTGCAGCAGCGTGGAGAAGAAGAAAATGCAGATCATTTTGAAAGGTTTGCTCCGTCCCGTCCCATTGCTGCTACATTGTAAATCCATTCCCGGTGCTTTTACGGTCCATCGTTTCCGGTACATTTCACGTCACCGCTCTCCTTTGCAACAGTCCGATCAGACCGACGTGCCTTTTTGGTTGACGATAAAAAAAAGAAATCCACTTCGATCTCACTGACAATTTTAACACACGCCACTCGGTTGTATTATTTCTGTCTATTATGAACGCGATATAGAAAAAAATACAAATCGCGCAAATACAAATTTGCTTGTTTTACAAACAAGAGAGCGGTTATCACAAAAAAAGTTATTTTTTCGAAATAACAATTACTCTCTTGAAAATATCGATACATCGATTAAATCAACTGCATCAGGTAATTTAGAACAGGCTGCATATTGCATTCCGGCTTGGTTAACTGAAATTGTACATCGAGAAGAGATGCTAAATTATTCAAGAGTTAGAAAGCGCGCGCGCGCGAACAAGTTACCGCGAGAAAATTATCGTTGCGGCAATCACAGGTTAACATTTCATATTGTACGTAAGGATATATATTTGATATTCTCTCTCTCTCTCTCTCTCTCTCTCCCTCTCTCTCTCTCTCTCTCTCTCTCTCTCTCTCTCTTTCTCTTTCTCTTGAAATTGCACCAGGCGAACTGTCATGCGCGAGTGTGCGCAATTACTCGAGAAAGTAATTACTTCCGTCGCGATTACGATTTCAAGCACCAAAAATGGGACAGCAAAAATGAGGGGACGAGAGCGCGCGTTTAATCGCGTCGCGCTTAAACGTTGTCGACGCTGAAAACTGTACGTACGTGCTATTTGCCTTCGCGTGAACCAACGACGAATAACGACGAGAGATCGACAATAACACTCGGCACACACGCAACGCTCGAAATGCGCGACATATGTTGCCACCGGGTCTTGCGATAAGTTCACATTAAGTGGTGCGCTCCGTAATGCGCGCGCGATCGAAAACGAACGTGATTTGGTTTCGATTCAAATCCGCGCATTCGGTCGAGATGTTTCGCTCGAACTATTGAATCCAACAAAACTAATGCGGCACGCACGCAACGGTAGCGCGGAGAATATATTAATTTTAGTTTTCGCACAATCCCGAACGCGTTTGCATTTGAGACAGATACTGTTATCTCTTCGTGCTGCAATGGAATTGGACGATATAATCGAAGATCCTATTGTCAAACACTCATAAGAGAACAATGAAAATACAATTCTTTTGCTAATATTGACAATAAATATTGCATATTTGTGTTTGCATATAAAATGAAAAATAAAATAACGGATGAAGTGGGATCTTGATATTAGAATGAAAAAAAAAAAAGAAATTTTTAGAAAGATTACTCTACGAGCGTAACGTATTGATTTACTTTTTAGTAAAAAAACAAAAAAATCCAAAAATCTTACACAAGAAGAAAAAGACGAGTGCAAGATTCTTTTTTTTGGAACAGATCGTCAGGCTATCTAAGAACAGAAATGTGAACAACGCACAAATAGAAGATCAGAACAATGATTTATGCGCAGCATTTGCCACGAAATATTCACACAATGTCGACCACGTTGAAACGGTCACGTGCTCGCTTCTTTCATGATTCCGGCATTTCCCCGCATTTCTTTCTATGCACGTAAAGAATTTGCATACGTGCTCAAAAATCCACAAAAACAAAAAGCACTCATGACATAATACACTGAGAAGAAACGCAACCGAACGAATTCTTTACGTCAATTTGGTTCACAATCGCGCGCTTTAATTTTCGAGGTCGCACGACGCACTTCTTTGTCGCTGCACCGCCGCGTACGTCGTCCGTAGCCGAGGAGAAGCATTTCACAAATCTGTCTTTTCACGTAGCGCGCGAGCGAAGCGCTCACCTCCTCGCGTTTCTATCAACTGTCACGAATGAACGAGTGCGCGACAAGAGTCCCGCGTAATCACAGGGAGAGAACCGGCGCGTCACTAAATCCTTCCAGCGCAGCTGGTCCGTACTTCCACGTGGGTGACTGCAGCTCTTGCGCGAGATGGTGCATCTTCGCGAGGATCCGGTGTCGTCGGTGTGTGACGTACGATCGCGCAAAAGAGCTAGGTGTTACCGCGCGCTACTTCCGTCCCTCTAAAATGCCGTTCATTCATCATATCGCACACACACACGCATAGTAACGCGCCCTGCGCCACGAACACCTTCTTTCACCTACAGGCAGCAGAGGGTGGCGAACAAGGGGTGAACGTGCACCCGGCGTCGTGTATATGCATCGTCCGCGAAAGGACGGCAGGTGAAGGGAAAGGAGGGAGAAGAGGGAGGTACAACGAGGGGGATCATGCGAGGAGGTTGCTCGAGGTGGGTAAGCAGGAGGCGATAAAAAGGGGGGATAGGGAGCGAGAGGGAGAGACAGGTGCGTAAAGAGACCGGTGGGTGAAATGCTGCCGTGGTGGAGACCGCGACCCAACTGCGCCAGCGCTTAGCTAGATATCAGCCCCCGACCACCGACGTCAACTCTTACCACCACCACTACCATCAACCCCTTTTCCCCGCCGTTGCGATGCCCAACCGTGCCGACTCACACCCACCCGCGTGCCACCCTTCTCGTGCTCTCATCCTCTCGTGTGCGCGCCGTCATAGTCCCACCGTCGCGCCGTCGTCTGGCCGATTGTGAGGACGGCTGGCGTCCGCGATGGCATTTCTGTTACTACCCGCGAGAGCATTGTCATCGATGACTTTTGTGTTTGGGGGCTGGTCGCAATCGCAAGCGCTGCTTCCATTCCATCGTCATAGCGTTATTAAGGTTGTTAGCGGGATAAGAGCGCGAGCGTAGGGATATAGTACACACAAACTCCCTTTATTGCCTGCCTCGGGCTTGCCAATGCCTGTCTGCGATATTTAACGCCCGGGAGCTCGATTTGCTATCCGAATATCGACGTTCAAAAGAAAATTTATTGCGCTCGGCTCGGAAATATTTCGAGCATTGCAATTTTTGTCTGCTTTGAGCTTAACGCTTTTTCAATAAGTTGTTACCTTTGGATACTTGACGGTTGCACCTAATGTGCACGTATCGATCGCTACTGGAAATTTTATATGCGTTAGTAGAATTTATGTATCGCATTCCTTAAAGTCGAGATTAAAATAAGCGAGAGAGAGAAAGAGAGAGAGAGAGAAAATTTTTTTTTAATTCTATATATCTAAGAAAACTAAAAAAAAACATATTGTTACGTCCTGGCCCATGGATACGGTCGGGCTGTGGTGTGACGCAACAGTAAACGCATCGTTTTCCATATCTCTCTCTACAGTGGACACGGAAGTCCTGCTGCGAGAGAGTCGAGCGAGTTTGTTTATGTTCGTTGACAGGTCAACGGCGTACGCCGATCTT